AGCAAGGAAATGTGAAAATAAATGGAAATGTCACCTATTCTCATATAATTGTGGAAAAATTCTATTACCAGTCCTTCATCACCTTAATCGAAATCGGGTGAATTCATCTCATATTTATGAATAGATTGCCCATATAAGTAGCATGTTTCGCAGTGGTACTAGTGACTTGTGGAATTGAGAAAGATGAACAAGTGTCGATTACTCCAAATATGTGAGAATATACTATAATGATTCTGAAATGCAAGTTTAATAAGAACTTTTTTCGCATATGTTTTTTCATATATCCTCAGTCAGAACATTGACTGTAAACATGAAATTACGCTTTCTCAGTAAGAAACGCCAGCCCTAGAGACGAAATATATCTCGTAAAATCGAGAAATGAGGGCACTTCTGATGATTTCTCTCAACAAGTGTTGCATCTCTCGTCTCCATCACCTAGGCCCATCCTGCTCTATTCTCATCTTTTCATACAGCTTGATGTGGATAATTTCCCTCTCTAATTTATATTCTTTCCTGCCCTCTCTCTCTCTCAAAATATGCAGCCCTCCACATGGTTCTAGTTAGGCGGAGTCACTTTTAACATCGGTTTCCTGATCCAAATTGGGATCTACATTCTGAAATCAACTCGGCTCTGAAATACAAAGCCCAAGGGAGACTTTCATTTGGTATGAGAGTGCATGAAGGAGTTATTCGAGCGGCGATTTCACCAGAAGACGACGACTGATTCTGCTTGATCTGCAGCCGTTTTGCTTTAATACGACACTTAGTTTGACGTCTTTCACGAGACATCCTCCCTTGTATCAGGTGAAAATGAGCTGAGCTTTCGTTCGTCACATGGCGAATATCATAAGAGCTGGAACTTATTCTTGCAAAAGTCGTAAGTGAATACTAAGTCTACCCTACATACTATTTATACTTATAAGGATAAACAATATTTTAATAAGGATACTTTAATCATATTATTGATGCAACAGCCATACCAAACCTTTGGACCCAGGCCAAATGTAGTCGTTACTGACTTATATTAATACAGTAAAACCTGTTTTTGTGCGATGGATAGGGACCGTATAAAAGAAATCGTACAAAAAAATATTCTGAAATTTTATAAATGCTTACATATAATAAACAACTTTTTACGATATACTACCTAAAAATCGCGCAAAACCAATCGCGCAAAAACAAAATCGCATAAAAAAGGACCGCACAAAAACAGGTTTTACTGTACTACTTAATGCACATGACAGAGATTTTTCGAAGCCAAGAACACGATTCCGGCTGGTTTGTAGGTCTACAACGATCACAAATAGCAATTGCCAGTATGGTTATCCGATAGTGTAAGTGTGTAAAACTTTTCAGGCCGGTTCTTAAATGGCCTTCAGGTCCGGAGAAATACGTGCACAGTTAGTCAAGCCGCTAAGCAGTGCGAAACTTGTTCATTTGTTTATTTTTATATTTTATCTTGTTCTTTCACAGGTTGAGTCCACATGAAACCTGAATTCTCGGTATGAAGGCTTCTAGATCCTGATTCACAGGCATATTGTTGGGAACTGAGACCAATGCCTAAATAATGCAAGGATTCAGAAGAAACGTAGTGTACACTAAATTATTTACTAGTTTCGGGCATCTCAAATGTACTCGAGTATTACTCCTATTTCATTTAAATTTTGACGAGTTATTTAACTGTAAAGACCTATTCTTGGTAATTGCACTTATGAATTCTACCTCATAGGTACTTTTATTATTTTAACAGAAGATCAGATTGCTTTATAATAAGTTTATTGTAGGTATAATAAGAAAGTAATCAAGAGTTCCTCTTAATATAAAAATAGCCGAGCTTATATTGCCAAGACAATAATAAAGTTAGAATTTTAAAAAATCCTTTCTTTCTTTATTCTGTTTCATTAGTTATCTCTGAAACTGTGAATATAAGTCTGGTGGCATGATCTACGACTAGTTATAATGATTAAAGCTTCTAAGTCGTTTTTTTGGAGCGTGAACGGTCTGTTAGGCTTAACAGAATTTCTAAACTCTTGCACTTAGTTTTGAACCAACCAGACTCCCGCTCTTCTCTGTGGATATGACAACCTTCAGAATGTCAGTAAAATGAAACCATGCCATCACCATCACTAACATAATCCGCTATAACCAGCTGGCTGGACTGCGAGTTGTATTAATTGGCTCAGTCTGTTATAAAATTGATAAATAAAACTAGAACTATTTGGATCACAACCTGGTTGGAGAGTATTCCGATGAACACTGATCTGCTGGTAATTTGCCGAACAGTATTATTAGAAAATTAATTTACATTTTTTATTTTGTTTCCCCTCATTTTCGCAACTTAATCTTGGGGTTAGGGAGACTTCTAAAAACCTACCTTCTCCGGTGTCTTATGCCATCGTAGTCATGCTAATTTCCAGAATCAGAGCATACATTTGGTCCCATGTCTCCAGACATTTTTCATGCGTTCTTGGCGGGTCTAGTCATTCTCATCAACTATATACTGAAGCGTCACAATTGGGGAACGTTGCGTCTCAGACTAAACGGCCTAAGGCAGATTGACTGGCTAATAAATGCATAAACATAATTTGAAGCGAGATTCCAGCATAAAAACCGAATCATCTTGAAATTGTGAAACCTCTTAATGAATTCTATGCGAACATGAGTGACTGAGTACTTATTCAAGACATACATATAGTTTCGAAATATACTCATTCTGAATATTGTTTTTTATTCTAGAGATGACCCTGCCTGCGAACCACTTCATTTAACTCTTATTAGATCCCTTTCCCCTATCGATGATCCATTTCTTATCTCACTGGCTGACTGATTTTATTCAGCTTCATCCATATTATCCTATTTTTATACAGCGTTGTAAGACTGTGACCAAACTAGATGCAACACCATCTAAGACTTCATACCTTCGAGTGAAAATTTGCCTATTAAGCAGCACTCTAAGGATGGTACTTTGCTAGGTTGAACTGGTCTGATCATTGAAAAAAATGTCTGACCTGAAAAATAGCAAATTCAGGAATACTTGTGGAAAAATCGTAAATTTTTCACAGAAGAGGAGCTACAGGAATGAATAAAAGTTAATATTTATGGAATAAAATTTGGTCAGACTTGCTCGCTAAGGATAATTTAGGAACTGACACTGGCCTTCTCATATCAATGTGGGAAAATGTATAACACCAACCTTTAAATCAAATCAAATATTTTAGCACGAAGCCTTGATAGATTTGAAACCTACTCATACTACTATTTCGTACTTGAGTAGTTTTTCGCGGCAGCTCGTATACTCATACAAAATATAGGTAAAGTCATTGAGTATAAATAATTGAATGTGTTTTTACTTGCAATAAAATCTCACTATAAATGTGATTTTGGAAGGTTCTGGCCTGTCTTGAGTTTTACATCCGCTCTCTGACCAACTGAAACTCGTGACTGAGTAACGGATTGTTAATATTTCGCCTCGACGTCTACGACCATATTTAGAGTTCTATCAAAGATGCTGATGGGGCCGAGGAGAGGCTGAAACTGGCATAAAGTCAAGCTAATTTAACTTTACTGGCATTGAGAGGCCAAATTAGCTCACGGGGGTCTAGATTCTACAGTAAGTCCTTAAATCGCCTTTAGCTACGTGTAATTCCTTTTTTTATAATTTATAAACTGATGATATTTTTGATATATATTCGAAAAAAGAACATAAAATTCTAAAGAGGATTTCGTTTATTTGCCTCTTCGACGGGATGGCGTTCTATAATAAAGGGAAAACCATTATCAATGATGATGCCAATGAAACGTACTTAGCCAACTTACCTCACTGTGGTTTAGATTCTCAATAAGTCCTTTAATCACCCTAAGCTACATCTCATTCCTTTTTTTCTTATTTATAAACTGATTATATTTTCGATATATACTCGTACTGCGTGTGAATATTAATAAGAATAAAGAGGAGCAAGAGGTTCTGTCCTCCTTTTACTGTATAAAAGTATTTTATTCTCTTTTTTGCAGCATGACTGTGTTGTCAAGGCGATCTTGATGAACGGTCCTTGTTCAAACCCTTCTGCTATAACAGTCATGATATTTGTTACATTCCCAAGTTCACCCTCGAAAGATAAAAAGCAGCACCGGTGCCTTGATCAAGGTCGCCTAGACAATAGAACCAAGTTGCAAAAATGAGGTAAAATCATTTTGTAAATATTGGTAGGTTTTTTGTCATCAAAATGCTTCAAATCGCCTTAATCCATCCGGAAGATAAGACTCACTGCACTGTATCCTTTGCTCTCCTCGTTCGCAAAACTGTTCGGATATGTTGTAGCCGCCATTTCTGTCGAGAAGCGAGACAACAGCGAACAGTCCAAACGGCCGCTATCCTCTCCGCTGCCGCTGAGGCTACTGCCACCACCGCCGCCGCCACTCATGCAACTGCTCTCATTCATCAGATGTCCTCCGGAAAGGAAAGTGTGCATTCCGTTGAGGACACCGCCGCGGCCGCCGCCGCCACCACCACTGCCATCTGAGCCGTGAAGTCCGAGTCCGTGAACGCTTTCGTCTTTTCCTGGTCTCGCAGTGTTGCCGCCCAGGACCTTGACGTCAAGACCGCCTACGAGTGTGGTCGTGGTGACGGTAAAGGGGAAGATGGACGAAAGAAAAAATTGTCTTTGAAAGGGGAGACCTTGAAGACAACCTTTGTAGGACCTTGATTCTGCAAATGTGGAAAGTTTGATGGATATTTGGTGTGTTTTATTTGACAAAAGTGTACATCATAAGCGAAGCCTAATTTTGATGGTTATCTTAAAATATGTTTGCTGTAAGGACTTACTTTTGGCTATTTTTTTCAGTTGAATGGTAAAAAAGATAGGCAAAACTTGGTCAAATACAGGCTACATTGACCCACCTGAGAATAAACAAGCAGAATAACAAAAATGTATGAGGTCTTTTGACCTTGTTTTCGCAACATGGTCATATTGGTAGGAAGACTTAGAGCAACGCACCTAGTACGGGGTCCATTGTCTGCATGATCATTTCCAAATTTGAACCGTGGACGTGGTATATTCCCAAACGTTTCTCCGGCATCGCCAGTGAATCTTTCAATTCTTAGCACCACACAACAACTCGTTAAAGAGACAATTAAAGCCGATCCTTTAACCAAACTTGTGCTAAACAATTGTGGTATCTCCCAGGGCAGAAGGGGAGATACCCCAATGGTTTAGCACAAGTTTGGTCAAAGGATCGGCTTCAATTGTCTCTTTAACGAGTTGTTCTGTGGTGCTAAGAATGGAAAGATTCACTGGCGATGCCGGCGGAAGTT